AAATTTGCGAGAATATGATTTCGAAAAACTCCAATGACCTTTTTCTGACCTTGGATGGTTTTCCTTTAATCCTTCAAAAGAGCCGATTATTATCGAACTCATTTCTATTGAAGATTATGAATTGCATATCGCAGATTATGATCTAAACTTAAACTTATTCGTTTACTGGTGTTTTCTATTTTTCTTGGTTCAAAAAATTATGAAATTTTTATATAAGGTACGTGAACTTTTTTATAATTAAGTATTTTTAAATTATTAACTATATTAAAAATCTCCTTATTATATATTATTTCTATAAGACATATTATTTAGAAAATAAATAAAAACAATATATGACCCATATATATTATCCATATATTTGACCCAATATCACATTACAAGATACTGATGAGCTATATGATGCATAATACAATTTGTTATTTATATTTAATATAAGTATTAATCTATTAGTTGTATATGCATTTTTTATGATTGAATCTTATTCAAGATTTGCAGTAATTTGAACTTTTTGTACATCATTTATGGTTCGTATCTCTTACTTTTTTGTTGTTAGTTAATTAAGATTATGCTTTGATTACAATTTGCTATCAATTCATTAGTTTTTTATTTTTTTAATTTTTTTATTGTTTTGCCTTATGGTATCTGAAATGATTTGAAACATTTTATCTTAGTTTTTTTTTTCGAGTATTGGTTCTATTAAAGTCTTAAAAATTCTTATTTCGAACATATGATTTAACTTAAATTGTATTTTATTTCATTTAGCAAATAACAAAGCTGCTGCCAAGCCAATGGCTGGTACATCTCAAGGCCGCATTGTTGCTGTTATTGGGGCCGTTGTTGATGTACAATTTGATGAAGAATTACCTCCAATCCTTAATGCTCTTGAAGTACAAAACAGGACTCCTCGTCTTGTACTTGAAGTTGCCCAACATTTAGGTAATTATATTTCATATTTATCATAATTCATTAAATTCATATATTTATGTATTTGGATGTTTTTTTCTAACTTAGGTGAAAACACTGTTAGAACTATTGCTATGGATGGTACTGAAGGTCTTGTGCGAGGACAGGGAGTACTTGACTGTGGATCTCCCATCAGAATTCCAGTCGGTGCTGAAACTTTAGGCCGCATTATCAATGTCATTGGTAAATTTTTATTTTTTATTCAATTTTGTAAATTAATCAATTCATTGGATTTTTTTAATTAACTAATAATTTATACGATAAGGTGAACCAATTGATGAGAGAGGTCCCATTCCAACTGATAAGACCGCTCCCATTCATGCTGAAGCACCTCCTTTTGTTGAAATGAGTGTTGAACAAGAAATTTTGGTTACTGGTATCAAAGTTGTTGATTTATTGGCCCCTTATGTAAAAGGAGGAAAAATTGGTAATAATAATAGTATTATCTTAAATGTTTTTTTTTTTTTTGAGAATCATTAGTAATTATATAATCATTTTTTTTTTTTGTTTTTTAAAGGATTGTTTGGAGGTGCTGGAGTAGGCAAAACTGTATTGATTATGGAACTTATTAACAATGTTGCTAAGGCTCATGGTGGTTACTCTGTATTTGCTGGTGTAGGCGAAAGAACTCGTGAAGGTAATGACTTGTATCATGAAATGATTGAGTCTGGTGTAATTTCCCTCAAGGATAAGACATCCAAGGTATGTTAATTGATAAATTATTGTGGTGTAATTTTCAAATCATTTTCAATTACAGGTAGCGTTGGTATACGGTCAGATGAATGAACCTCCTGGTGCTCGTGCTCGTGTAGCTCTCACTGGACTTACTGTTGCTGAATATTTCAGAGATCAAGAAGGACAGGATGTATTGCTTTTCATTGACAACATTTTCCGTTTCACACAAGCTGGTTCTGAAGTATCTGCCTTGTTGGGTCGTATTCCATCTGCTGTAGGTTACCAACCAACTTTGGCCACTGACATGGGTACTATGCAAGAAAGAATTACCACAACCAGTAAAGGTTCCATTACCTCAGTACAGGTAAAATTTGTTTTCTAAAGCTAAATTATGTTTATTGTAATTAATTATTAAATTTTTTAGGCTATTTACGTACCTGCTGACGATTTGACTGATCCAGCTCCAGCTACAACTTTTGCCCATTTGGACGCCACCACTGTATTGTCCCGTGCTATTGCTGAGTTGGGTATTTACCCAGCTGTAGATCCATTGGATTCCACCTCCCGTATTATGGACCCAAATGTCATTGGTGATGAACATTACAATGTTGCTCGTGGTGTACAGAAAATCTTACAAGATTACAAATCACTCCAAGATATCATAGCTATTTTGGGTATGGATGAACTTTCAGAAGAAGACAAATTGACTGTCGCTAGAGCTAGGAAAATCCAAAGGTTCTTGTCTCAACCTTTCCAAGTTGCTGAAGTTTTCACTGGACATCCTGGAAAATTAGTACCTCTTGAAGAAACTATCAAAGTAAATATATTAATTAAATATATATTTTTTTTTAATGGTATGATATTTATTAGAGTATTAAATTTATATTTAATTTTTAGGGTTTTTCTAAAATCTTAGCTGGCGAATACGATCATTTACCTGAAGTTGCATTCTACATGGTCGGACCAATTGAAGAAGTAGTTGCAAAGGCTGAAACTTTGGCCAAAAATACATAATTTATATAAATGATACTAAATCCATTCGTACAGAAGATGTTCTCGTAACATTTTGTATTCATTAAAAGTATAATCATTCGTGTTTCAGCGAATAAATAAAGTAGAGTTTTGTAAATACTATTTGTTAACTGGCAAACATCAAAAAATGAAAGACTTAGTACAACTTTTATGACATGTAAACATGTTATTTCACAATTATAAATTTGCTGGTATTTTTAAAATGTTCCGAGTTCATGTCATTTAGATCATTTTTCTGTATCGATACCAATATAAATTTTACAGTTTATGTGTATAATGTATTGTTATTTATACCACTCGCCTTATTTGTAATAAAATGATACTATTAAAAATTTACTTCAGGAATCAACTTATTACCTAGATCAGTAATTTCCAAATTTTTTCAGTCATGGAGACTTTGAGCAGTATTTTTTCGTGGAGACCCTAGAAATATTTAGTATTAAGTTTTATTTTCCTGTGTTCAACGTAGAATATTTCACGTGATTTGCATTTGTATAGAAGGAAATTCTAAACAAGATAGTGTTATATTTATATATAATATATTTGGTCAGGAAATAAATGGAATGAGAATGCATGTTTTTAAAATTAAAAAATTATATTTGAGTTGACAGTCTTGGAAAAATATATACACTCGTTTTAAATAACAATCAATAATTGTTATTTTTTCTATGGTAATAGCAAATATAGCCCTTGAACAATTGAGGAGCCTTAAGGGCTCTATGGAGCACAGTTTAGGAACTGCTGACATAGAGGATAAAAGTCATGTTTCATATTCCATATTCTTAATTGTATTACATAGTTGTACGCTTGTGGATTATGTTGAACATTTTCAAGGTACCCTTTGATAATTTTTATTTTATAAAATATATTTTGCCTAGTTTAATCATAATGATTAATTATTTAAAAGTAAATTCATGTTACAACGATAGTTGAGTTTGTTACTTATTAAATGTTAATTGTGATTCATCATAAAAAGTTGAAAATAATTAACATTTTACAGTAAAGAATTTATTATTTCTCCGCTTCACGTTTAAAGGTATTTGTCATGTGTACATAACATTTATTCTATTTCATTGTGTGGCCATATCAAGTTGCTAACATATAATGAAGTAATGGAGGATCTTGATAATATTCAAAAGTGAAATTAATCAGTATACAGTTGTTTCTTTGTGATAAGTTAATTTTTAGAAATGTGTGAATTATTACATTTGTAATTTCAAAATATTTTATCTTTGATTATACAATTTAAGGTATGTAATTTGAATTTTGATTCTTTAATTAATTTGTCTAATAATTAAATATTTTTTTATTGAATATGTGTCCAATCGTTGAGTATCGAAAATCGACATATAGCTTCAACTATTAAATCTTCGTCAATCTCTACTGGACTAATAAAGAGCTCGGTACAAACGATATTGGCTTACATATTCCTCAACTTCAGTCATCGATAAGTTTTTACTTGTTTAGTTTTACGTTGTATAAATACTAACATATTTATTTATTGAAGTGATGAGGGACGTGATTAGGGTGCCAACCGTCCCACGTAAGGCGGGACGTTCCATTTCCAGGGTTCAAATAATGTGTCTTGCGATGCGTATCCGCGGGACGCTAATTGTCCCGCTTTTGGCAAACCTATATAAATATTTTTATATAGAAGCCTTACATTTTTACTGTGCACATTTAAAACTATTTTCTATCCGAAATTCCGACAGAGTCGATTGCGCGTACCGGTTTAATAAAAAATTGGTAGTATTTATAGATTCAATTTAGTATTCAATACACAACCACTCTTTCAAAAAGCAAAAATAATTGTCTTGTGATAGGGTATTCTTAATTGGGCAAACTGCTTTATTTACTAATTTTTGTTAAAAAATTGTAATTATTCTGTTAATTTTATATGAATATTTCAAATTTTAAATAAAACTGGTAAAAATTATTTACATCGTTTTCTCTTGTTTCTATAAATTTGTAAGCATGTCCCTATTTTTTTGTCAAGTCCTGTATTTAAATATCTGGTTTCCCGCTTATCTGTAAATAAGAGTTGGCAACCCTAGACGTGACCTACTTCACGCACAGACTTCTATATAAGTCTGTGACTTCACGTAATATTATAATGGACATCTGATTAGTAATCACTGATTTACTATTTTTGATATAAAAATGACCATTGCACGACAGTTTATAATTTCACGCATTTGTATTTTCTGTCCGGAATTGTGGTAATTGATGGAAGCCAAACCGATGTAATCAATCTGAAAAATATTTTGAATTTATTTATTTTTTTCAGTTTTCTTTGAAATTTATTTCAAACAGTGTGTTGTGTAATGACAGCTGATAATAATTGTTGTTTATCAAGAAGTATGATAGCAGCATAGAGTAATATTACTCTATGGATAGCAGATATAAATTTATAACTTCAGATATGGGCCGTTTGTGATATAAGTTATCAACACAGATTGCTGTTGGAAAAACAATTTATACTATACATTTTAACGTTATTGTCGTGACCGGTGGTCTGCGAGTGACGAATTCTAGGGAGTACAGGAATATTTTAATGTCAGATCGTGGATAAGAAATATTAATGGCTTCGATTTCGAGTGACGAAGAACATAAGGTATTAAAATTATATATAATTTCGATAAGAAACTCATTAATTTTTTTCTCATTACTCGATCACAGTTTTTACTCAAATTTATAACCATAAAGTTACGTCCAATTACCTCTATAACACTTGATGGTATGATTGTAAGCGAATGTTGTTATTTGATCTAATAAAGGCTTAGGATAGAAGAGTTAGATAGATAGGTTGAGTTAGTATTTTGTTGTTTAAAAATTTAAAAAATTAAATCACCACCTAAACTAAAGCAAAATAGTGCCAGAAATCTTAAAAAAGCATTAAAGTTACATTTTAAAATGGACACATTAGTTATGTTTTAAAATAATTATTTAATATTTACAAGTCGTAAATAAAAATATATTAAAATGAAGACAACCAACATTTTGTAGATATATATATAAGTAGTCTACAAATTAATGTTAAGTATATAATTTTATTCAACCCATTAAATCAAATATTTCAAGAGAAAAATGATTAAACACATTATATAATAAATTAATGATAATTGGCTTAAAATATGTAGATCATTTAACATTATGTTAAATTTTATTTACTTTATGTAGTTTAAATGAACTTGATAGCTAACATAGAATTGTAATATACCAATTAGAAAAAATAACAAATGCCTATAAATCGAATATTTATTTTGTCAGGACAATCATATTCATATCCTAAAATTAAAAATAATTTTACCATTATACTAATATTGGTAATTAAACCCACTATTTATATAATTAAAGCACCTTTATCTTGCAAATTAAAAAAATCTCATGGTTAAATCATGTTATATGTTGATATAGTAATTTTATTTATTTAGCCATTCATGGTTTTGGGTAAAGACGTCTCCAAAATTCCATGTTTTCGTAACAGTTACTTGTATGGTATACTTGGAGGATTTGTTGTAGGAGTTGGACATTTTATGTTTACAAGTAAAACATTAAAATCTACACACGTTGGATTTGGTTCTTTTATTGCCATATCTACTATTTATTGGTAAGTATAATAAATGATAAATTTTTCATTTTACATCTTGTTAAACAATCGAGTATAACTGTTTTAACATTACACCTGTAAAGTATTACTTTGTTTTAAATTGATTGTTATTAAAATTTATAGAGTTTATCATGTTCAATAAAAGAAAGCTGAAATATTTACTTAGTAATGTGCATGGATTTACTGATTTTAAATAGGGACACCTCGTAAAACTAGTATGTATATTTTTGTAGGAAATTTTACTATTAAATATGTTATTATATAATGTGTTTAAATCAAAATTGGTAGCAAATTATTTTTTTAATACATAGAAAATTAATAAATCAGTAGAAACATTTTCTTAAATTGTTTTTTGTTACAAATTAAATATTAATACATCTAATAAGAAATTAATGTAATTTAATAGAGGACATGTAATTTTAATAGTTAAGTCTTTGTTCGATTTTTAGAACTAATATCTTGGAAAATTTTTAAGTTGACAGATAGTCTTCACTAAAATTTATTAATGCTTAATAGTATTTTTCTCCTATGCACATATAAATAGTTTTCATAAAAACTATACATTTTTAAAAATCATAGTATTTTTATAAATAAAATATATTTCAATGTACCAATAATCTGAGTGTTTCTAATAATATGTTGTTTTAAATTTATTTTAGTTAACTCTTCCATCTCAAGGTTTTTTTGTTTTAATATTAAGAATATTGATTTGATTAAGTTTTCCATTTTGTGTTCTGGATTTCTCATTTATTGAATTTAAATGTTTGATAAGTTTAAAAGTAAAGAAAATTTCAATTTTATCATTAACATGTACTTAATATAAAATATATTAATTCTATACATCCAAGTTATATTTATTTTAATTTAATTAAAAATATACTGATGTACAGAATTCACAAGATATTCATTTAAAATTAATCTAGGACTATGCATACTTGTAATAGTCTTTAAAACAACAGAACAAATATTGGCATTTTCATTGTCTTATTGGTAATAAGTTATTACAATCACCAAATTCTGTTGAATAGTTGAGTATAATTTATATTTTACTGTAAGTAAATATTGAAAATAATATAAAATAAAAAAAAAATTATACATACTACACAAAAAAAAAAAAATAGAAATTTTATTTAAAGCAGCTTATATTATATTTAAAAGTGATACATTTTTTTTATACATTAATACATAATAATACATATATAGATATGTGATATGCATAATATTATGCACTAATTTAGTGGATACAACAATATCAATTATTGTTGTCTTAGCATAGCATTGTATAAGATTACTGATTTTATCTATTTTTGAAAATTAAATTTGTGTTTAATGATTAATGATGTAGACATTATACTATGTATGTGAATATAGTTTCCAATAATGTTCTTACTATTTCAAGTGATGGGGATTATACAAACTTCACAACCCCACCATCTAGAAAAAGTCAGAACTTCATTGAAAGTTCACCACTTATAATAGCATCATTATTGATTACTGCTATATCATGTTAAAATATAATTTTGGCTCCGATAAGATTGGATATTATAGTTACATCTTATTATTTATATTATTATCGCAACGAAGAAAAATTATTTTTTTATAATGAATATTATTATACTCTACCTTAATAAACCCTTATGCTAAAATTGTGTAATTGATAAATCATTTATAGGTCAGTTTGCCGATATAGCTATCATGATACAGAGGATAAAATGAACGAATTACAAAATTTAATTAAAGGGAAAAAGAGTGGCATTGAATGATTGTACAACGCCAATTTATCAAAATACCACAACTGCTGATATCATTCAGAACATGTGTATGCGAATAGTACATAAAATGGGTAATAAATAAAAAAAGTGAAGCGTACATGCGCATAATATATGTGATTATGATTTAGCTACAATTGTACAATAATATTAGATTATATTTTAGTGATGTTGTTTTTGTGCAATGTAATATTGAGTTTGTAAATAAAAATATACAAAACAAATATTGTGATTATTAAGCTATTGTATTTTATCAATGATGGTTTAAAACAAAAAGTATTTACATTATATTGGTTAAAGACATAAGTACGAATAGGAATCCAGGCAACAATAAGGAATACATTACAATAATAGTATTATTCATCGAAGGTTTGTACAAATATTATGTTTAGGGAGAAAGTCAGTCGACAGAATACAACTTAACATTTATGTTCATATTGTAATAATTATAGTAATAATAATAATAATAATAATAGTTATAGAATTTATAGTAATATTAATAATAATTTTTATTTTTTTAAAATTATTTTAGAAATGTAATATTATGGCTGTAATTATGTTGGTTGATACAATAACGCGGCATGACTTATGTATTTTGTATGGCGTTGGTTGGTTTAAAGTAATGAATCGGCATAGCTATTTTTCTCTGTTGATATGCCCATACGGTCCAGCACTGGAGCTCGGACCACTGAGTGTACATGCACTGTGGCGTTTCGCAAAAGAGATGTGTTCACCTGACGATTGGACGATGTTAGTGTTTCTGTGTAGCTCAGTTGCTCCTGTGTTCCGTTTCTGCAACACCTTAACCATTTGAATGGTGGGACTTGTCTGCAAATGGGTAAAAATTAAAAAAAAATGTGTGTTAATGACAGTATTTATGTTTTTGTTTTTAGAGTTACTCTGGAATTTTAGTTATTTTTAATTTTTCAACTCAAATTGCCAATGTAAACGTATTTTCTATTATTATTATTATTTTTTAATATAAGCAATAAGTTCAAGCCAAATCCAACTCGCTTAAACTTGATTTGTTAATGATATTAAATTCTAACAAAGTCAAGTTAGATTAAATTATAAGTATAAATTAATAGATGGGAGTAAATATATAAATTTTCAAATTTAATAGTTTTAAATCAATTAATTAAAAACCAATGACCATTGGAATTTGGGTTTTTCTCTATAAATTATTATTACATATTTCACCTACATATTTTTCATTTGAGTAATATCAAAAAAAATCTCTAAACTCATATTTAGGAAATTATTATAATTTATAAAAATAATAATTATAGATTTTTGGACACGGAGTAAAAAAAAAAAAAAACGGTTATTCTCAAATTATATATAAACAGTGTTGTAGCTAAGGCGACCATATATTTTTCTAGTCAAAATGGGACAAAAAAAAAAAATCATTTTGATTAAGAACAAATTTTTTTATTTGACAACAATTTATAAAATAATGTACTATTATGGTTTTAAGAGACAAAAAAAATTATATTTTATTAAAACAATCAACTTTTTTTATAAAAAAAGAAAAAAAACGTCTACGCAAAGAAATGAAAACGGCCCATGATTGCTGTGTTACCGAAATAATGAACTATGAAAATAATTTTTTTGTTAGCGCTGATCTTGGGGCATTAAAACACATTAGGTTAATACGTCCGTCCATATTGGTACATCGTTCGCCGCAATAGGTTTTTTCATATTTCATTAGTGTAGTCATATTCCGATACACCACATAGTCCTGTTTCCGTTCGACGTCGTCCATGCAGCAATACAGTATATACACGTTACATGCACACATAACAGTTAAATATAATACCGGTAGAAACAATAACTCGTCGACAGATGAGAAATTAACCGTCGTTAATTTTACAATTGTTTTGAAAACGGGACGTTTTAGTGTGCCGAACATTTTCCTGTGGGACAACGGGACGAAGACGCGAAAAAACGGAACGTACGGTCGCCTTAGCCATAGCCATCCATTGTGGGTCTTTTTTTCTACGCATGTACTATACTAAATATTGGTACTGAAACGGGTCGGAGTAGTTCGCACCAATGTCATTAACAGCTCGTTCGAACTATTCGTTCGCGGACCTAACGGCTCCGGGTTAGATCACGCGGAGCGTTCGTGTACGGGTTTTTAGTGCGCGGCACAACACTGGGCTCACGAACGCGTACCCCAAACAATACCTCTGCGCGGTGGCGGTTTTCCGTGCGCGAAACCGGCGGCGGCCGACGGCGGTAAATACGTGCATTGCAACTTCTACCTGAGAGATCGGCAAATGTGCGTGGAGAACAGGCAGTAAATGATCGGGTTGGCGGCGGAGTTCAGCGGCGCCAGGCTCTGTATGAACGTGGCGAGCGCAACGTTCGACTGCGTTTTCGGTATGTAACCGTACACCTGCAGCAGGTCGAAAACGATGTACGGGCTCCAGCACAGGATGAACACTGCGAAACAACAAACAGAACGACGCGAGGGCCGCGGTTAGGTATTTGGATATGGTGGTCGTCGAGTTTCGTACGCGGTGGCGTATCCAGAATTTTTATTTATCCATATACTCTACGATGTCTTGAAAGTGATGCGGACTGCTGGGCGGCTGTGTCGATCGATCATTAAATTAATTAAACATTAAAACATTTTCCGGGGGGGGGGTGAGGTTATAAACCCTAACCCCCCCGGATACGCCACTGGCTGTACGAAAGCAATAATAGTCGCGCGCGCGTCGGTGTCGTTTTCAATAGTTTCTTATAATAATATTATCCTATATAATATCCTAATAGTACGCAAGACAAGTAAAAAAAAAAAAAATTATTGATGTGATATCAATGTCAAAACATTTTGATATGATCGAATCGTTAGCCCTGTTGTACACTATAAGAGAAAAGCAACACATGCACAATTTAAGCGTAAAAATACGCGGGACAAAAGAATTCACTATAAATCCACGGTAAAAGCTATTTTATTTCGTTCTAATGAGAAGAAGAATGTCGGCGATATGGCGTTCTTATTTTTTCGCTAACGAAAAATGATTCAAAGTTATTTATGTGTTAACATTTGTAAACGTTTAATTTTTTTTGTTTAGCTTTAAAAAATTATTGGAAATAATGATCGTAAAATTAAAACCCAGCATCGTGTATAATGTTTATTTCATTAAAAAAAAAAAAGAGTCTCTTTTATGAATTGATGCTGAATTATTTTGTCCCGCGCAACACGATTAAAAAATAAAAAATAAATTTGGAAAAATGGATATATAAGGCGATAAACTCGGGACACATTTTTTAGCAGGGGCGTATTTATGGGGGTGGCTGAGGGGGCTTCAGCCCCCCCCCCCCCCGAAATCCAGGAATTGTTTATTAAGTCTACGTATTATGTCCTACTAGATGTAAAATCGTAAAAGTTCACTAAGGTACATAATGCTTAATTTTGACATGCGGTACTGCTGCATTATCGTAATTTCGATTTCTTTTATCTAGAATTGATTTACTGATATACACGCGTTGTCGCGTTTCAATCACCGTACAATAATTATACGAGTATTACGAGCCTATATGAGCTAAAAATATTTCCGAGAAGTTGTGACGACGATGGCCGATAACGCTGTTATATTTTAATCGCTATTATAGATAAATATTTGTTGTCTGATATATACGACGTTTAGTATCGCACGTAGTACGTACCTACTAACTACTAAGACAGTGGATTGTAACGAGTGTTTTTATTTGTTGGTTAAATAAAATAATAATAATACACCTAAGCATAATGAAAAGAACTCAACAATCATTGTTGCATTTTTATAAAAAATCTAAACAGTCCACCGAATCCATCGATGATACAGTTCCATCTACATCGAATGTTTTACAAGATGATAACATTATGGCAACACTTGAAACAGAAAAAAAAGCTCCAAGTCCACCAGTTATTTCTCCGGTAGTTGAACCTAGTTTAAAATGTTTAGATTCTAAGCTTGATATAGAAGATTATGTTGAATGCAAGAATAATTTAAGTGACGAAGAGAAAGTTTCAATTTTGCAAAACGTATGGACACCCGATTTAAAGTTTAATTTCCCATATGACAATTGTGGAAAATATAAACGTAAATTTCAAATTAAATGGCTTGAAACTTTCAAATGGTTAGCATATTCAAAATTAAGAGAGGGTTTATTTTGTAAATTCTGTGTACTGTTCTTAAATTTAAATCAGGTTGGTAAGGGATCACATGAGAAGTTAGGTAAACTTGTTTTAAAACCCTTGACAAAGTTAAAAGACGCATTGGAAGACTTTAAAAATCACGAAAAAAATGATTACCATAAAAATTCGTTACTTACTGCTGACAACATAAAAGCAATTTTAGAAAAAAAACAAGATAATATATTAGTACAATTAAATAGTAAACGAAAAGATGAAGTTATAAAAAATCGCGCAAAACTTAAGCCAATTATTCAAACAATTCGATTACGTGGTAGACAGCAAATAGCGTTACGGGGGCACGAAGATTCTGGTAGAATTTCTTTAGAAGAACCAAAAAATAACGATGGCAATTTTCGTTGTTTGCTTCGATATCGCTCGAAAAATGGTGACAACGTGTTAAAAGAACATTTGGAAACTAGTGGTTGTAAATCTATGTATACAAGTCCACTTATACAAAACGAAATAATAAATTTGTTTGGTGATTTAATTCAGTCAAAAATTCTT